CTGCTGACCCCTGCAGAGAGGGCTAAGAAACTCTTTCTGCTGCAAAAGCATGGGCAAGATCTCTTGAAACACTAATAAAGAATGCTACTAAACATACTCCTATACAGGCAGAGTCCCACTTTCAAAAAACTTTCTTCTCACACCTGACACCAGTGTTACAAACATGAATTGCTTCAGCCTTGAGAAAATACCATGTTGTGTTGAGAACACAAAACAGACCTTTTTTCCCCCAAGTGAAAGCATATGCTACTTACTGCAATGTTACATAAAAATTCCAAGTATTGGCTTTCAGTCTAGCCCCTAAAACTGATTTGTAACACTTCAAAGAGATTGAAAAGACCTAGGCCCATCTGAAACTCTAAGGAGACTGATCACAACTAAATTAAAAAGCTAGTTTCAACTCCAATAATACAAAATCAGAGAGACTGCAAAACCTGGAGTAATTTCAGAAAGTAACTGTTATCTAATTTTAAATGATTGATGTTTAAATGCAGTGATAGAAGCAGCACTCTTAGCCTTCACCTACAGTTAAGACTGTTAAGGCTTATCAAGGCTGTGTGTGGTGAGCTGGTCTAGTGGATATGGTTTTGCTTCACTTTTGCTAGAGTCCCAAAGAACTGCACAGACTCTACCATCAAACACTGAAAGGGTAACAGCTAAAAAAAACCCAAAACTCAAACTAAAAACAAAGGAGCTTTCCTGGTAACATTTAGGAAAGCTGGAAATTCTAACATATCCCTTGCTTTTTTCCTATTATTTTGAAGGGTCTCCAGCGACAAGAGATTTGGCTACCTCCAGTACGGCAGCCTCTCAGAGTTCAAAAATGAAATCCCTGTAGTTGCATGTAATAAATAGTAACTGCCAATGCAAATCCAAAACGCTTACAGGCTTCTTCAAAAATTATTTTTTCAGGACATAGATTTAACAGAACATTTTTAAATCATGAATAACAAAAAATGACAAGACCTTAAACACAGTCAAACAAAGTCATCACAGTGGATTTGCAAGTCTTTCTTTTTCCGAGTTATTTCGGAACATTTTTGGGCAACAGCGCTGGAAATGCTTTAAACCTTTGCATGCCAATAAATCAAGCAGACCTGATCTGTCTAATGCAGATGCAATGAAAAAAGTATTGCAATGCTTAAATAAAAAGCACATCCATCTGAAAACAGTCTTCTGGAGATAATGATATTGTAGCTAATTTCCACAGGTTACATGATGCCACCTCTTTGCCCCTTCTGCAGATTGGCTACACGTTATGAGACACTGACAGGCAGCAATATATTTCCTGAAAAGAGAGTATTTAAGCATGAAGCACGTGCTATTGAAAGTTGAGAGTTAATTTAAACAGAAAGTGCTGGGTAGGGATAATGACACTTTGCCAATCTTATGGACTTTTTGTCTTCAAGGGCCTTCACAAGATCTCAGAACTATATCCAGAACTCACTCTTCAAGCTTTATACACCCAGAGGGATTTGAAAAAGGTTCCCAAAAGCATGCACTGATTTAATGTGCTACACCACATGGCACTGACCCAAACATTTGAGGAAATATGACTGATACATTTTATTATCTCAGTTTGGTAAAACTATCCATTTTTAGTAGTATTCATTTTCATAGTCTGTTCATTTTATAACACTGTTATGTCACAATGGCATAACCAACTCAACTTCTTTAGGTGACTGTTATCAACAGAACCACCTTCTCTCCGAGTAAAACCAGTCTTTTTCTTATACAGCTACATTGAAATTAATGTCTGTTAAAAATAAAGTTTTAAGACAAAATAAAAATATCCCATTAAGTCACCACTACAGATCCCAAATTGTTTTAGGCTTTAAGCAGAAGTTTTTCTTTCTTCCTTCAAGCTCAGCAGGTGGTTGGATTGCCACTGAGGTTAATTCCAATCAAAACAGATGATGAATTTATCTTGCTACTACAGTGCAAGCTCGCTGCAAATACCATCTGTAGTGTAAAACAGGATAAACACCAAAGCAAACCAAGAGACAAATTACTTTGCCTGTCACACGCTGCTGTAGCATCCAGTGTACAGATGTAAAAAACCCTCTCAACAATCATTTTTCCCTTGTTAGAAAGCGCAACCTCTGAATATTACTGCTATGAGTACTTGGCCGTCTTGCTATGCAGAGTGGCATACACAGTTACTACTCCAATGTAGATTAATGTTCCCACAAGTTATTCAGAAGCATAAAGTTACACTGTTAAGAGTAAATAAAAATAAGGCCAAAAGAGGCTGCTGTACTACCTTCATACTCAACTTAGTCCAAGCATTTTTACAGTCAACTACAGTCATTAGTGTATCAGATGTCCATCCTTGCTTTCAATTTCAGATTTCAAGATTCATTCACTCATTATGTTAAAAATCTTGCTGTCTGCCTAGTACAAAAATCAAATACTTGGTCCTAATTTAGTGCTCTTTCATATATTTCATCTATTCTTTAATGAGATTTGACTCCTCACTTGGAACATAGAACTACTGTACCTTTTCCACAGTCCTTCCTGCACACTGGCCTCTACTTCCTTCTTCCAACCATATTAGACCTTCAGTACCATCTTTAGCAGCCTCTGCTAACCTCCTTTCTCTCCTGTATTAAGGGCACCTTTTTTTTTTCATACACAGATTTAACTGTCTTGAACCTCAGTTCCGTGGGCTTCAAAGCATCCTCTCTTACAGTCACAACAAACTGGAATAAGCAGAGCCTTGCCTACGTTTGAGTGGATACCATGTGCAATCAAATACACATTTCAACACAAGATGAGGAATACCGAAGAACATCCTGTGCTGTACTAAATACAGAGCTGTTCTGCCCTTCTCTACCAGGTGATAGTGCTAGAGTTAAAAAAGTTTCCTTACTTCAGTAACAGACCACAGAAGGGGGGGAGTACACTGAGACAAGCCACAATTTGTATGTCAATTTCTTCACTGCACTGGGAACTCAAGTGGTACCACTTTAGTATGTTTCTTATGCATGTTTCTTAAAAGCTCTGCAAACATTTCAGTGTATTAACAGTGCAAAAATTCCTGCCTTCAAGATATCCTGGAATTATGCAGCTAATATTGTAAAAGAGACCCAAGATCATTTATTGCCTAACTGAAAATACTTCACATGCACACACACACTCTTAACTGACCTTGGAGGGATTGAATGGCATCCCTAAATACGAAGAGCCTCTGAATCCACAGCGATTCAAGTTTGATCCTGGAAAAGAAAGAAATAAAGACTCAACTACTTTGCTTTGCTGAAACACTCATTATAAACCATAATTCTCTAGCCACGATCAAGACCTGTTAGTTCAACACTATTCGCAGTATTACTAGAGTTTGCATGTGTCTTTTAGTATGTTCCCAACCTCAGTTTGTTATCACTCTGATCAATAAAAAAACCAAAACAAAGCCACAAGCAAACTTGATCCTGCTGTAATGGCAAAGCAACAGACTTTTTTGATTTGGTGAAAATATAGTATTCATACCAGCACAGAATTGTCTTCCATGCTTACAAGAAAAAGGAAACCAAAAAAAAAACCCACAAAAGGCAAAAAAAAGGACTGCTCCCCTGGAAAAGCGCCCAGAATTAACACACTTTTTCCCCTGCCTGGATTCCTGCCTGGTAATACCGTCTGTTCTCAAGCTGAATTGTTTTAAGATACTTTGCAACAGGTATAAGGACAAACAGTTTGCAGTTTTAAGCTAGCACCAATCTAACCCAATACTGTCAAATAGAATGATGTGAAAGGCAAATTTTTTTAACTGTAGCCGTATTTCTCTTACCCAAAACACAGGTACAAGAACACTGTAGCTATCAAATCTTTCTGTTAGTGATTCAGTATAATTTGTTTTAAATGTGTCACAATACCTGAGCCTGCAGCATACAGAAATACGCAGCACATGCTGTCTAGAGCTAGGTACAGGTTTGTAGGGCTCAAAGCTACTTCTGCACAGCAAAAAACTCAATTACTTTACTCCTCAGCCTCTAAAAGTAAAAGCCTAATGAGTGCCATAGTTCAACAGCACCTGGGTGTTCTTAAATTCTCTCCCCTCCTTTTTTTTCTTTTCAGCTCTTCAGCCTTTAATCTAAAAATCCTCATGGAAATTAGGGAACATTGCACCAGGCTAACCAAACAAGAATCGTCGTACAGCTGAAAGTCCTAAAAAACATCACTATGCAATGTGGTCTACCAGTTCGGGTCTCATTTATCAGCACATGAGCTTCTAATTTTAAATACATTCTGCATGTGTGCAACATTTAAACTACAAGCTTTTATTAGTCTAAGTACTTCAACATGGTTAAAGTATGCAACTTTTTCTACCAAAGAAGTCTTTGCATCTAATTTTCACGGAGTGAATCACCTGGAATTCTCCATTTCTTCTACCTTTCAATCAAAAGTACTTTTTAATGATTCTACAGGTGTAATGAAGGTCTTTTCAGCCTGCACTAAAAGCTGGTATGCTATAGTAACACCAGCAAAAACAGAAGGAGTATCTGTATTTGTAGACAAAAAAAATGCATAACTGTTGTATTTTATTATAATCTAAATCTTCCCAGCAGAGAACACTTATCTGTCAGCTCCTGGAGTCAAAGACTTGCATTTCATGTTGGAACAGGTTCTGGGAAGCACAATAAACATTAGTCTTAAGGACTAAGGTCCTGATGGACACTACCCAAAAAGCACTACAATTTGAAAAATGACACAATGTGAATTAATTACTAAGAGGAGAACTTTATTCCTGCTTCTTAAATACCAGATTTCCTAGGTGACACTGTGGAAAAATCACCATTCACTTGGCCTATTTTCAGTAAAAATGAATCTGTGTCTTAAGTGCTTAAGTAAACTACAAAATTCACTTTGAAATGGCACTAATATGGAAACCCTTCATCCAGAAAACAGTTGCTAGCCTACCAGAACACAGTTGTTCTAATCTGCTGCAATGGAAAACATGCTACTGTTAGGACAGCTCTGCAGCCAACCAGAACTCAGCTGCTAGTTACTAGACAGAAGGATTCATCCCAGAAAGGCTGATCCCCATTTATTGGCCTTTCAGACTGTAGCTTATCATTTATTATCAAGGTAGAAATGGCAGTATGAAACCCAAGTGCAGTGTGCTGTTAGTAGGTCACTTTGATTGGCTTTTTACTTGACAGCTGCTATGAAAAAGAGAGATGAAAAATAAAGTACATGAATGAAAACAGAATCTATTATTCCCTTCAGCAGTTCAATTTTCATGTAATATTTTAAAACTTTTCTTGTACTACTAAACTGCTACCAACTAAAAACCAGCATTGGTAATTTTAAAATGCTGGATTTTTAACTGTATCGCTATCGTTGATTTAAAATCTATTTTGATTCTTTATGTCAGTGACTTCTGATCTCCCATCCTAGACTTTACACACTGGTTCCTAGGAGATACAGAACACCACCATGGCTCTTCAATGACCTTATACTGCATAATCTTTAAAGGGAAACCGATCCCCTCTTCCTAACAAAAACAACTTTGTCATTAATGTGCATGCAATAGATGGGTCCTAGTCTTTCAGCGTCAGAAGTGAATTGCTAAATTTCTAGTTACAATTCTTGAATTAAAAAACAGAATGCTGAGCTGATAAAGGAAGTGTTAAAACAAGAAGTGAAAACAGCTCATTTCTAACCAGATGACTCCGGCACATTGACATCATGTCTAAAAATTTTTTTTAGCTTCCTATAAACAGTTCAAAACCAAATGAGAACGAAAGGGCAATTAGGGAAAAACTAGTGTCTTTCAGTTTATGCACATCACCTCACCTTCTGTGAAGCTGGTTTTACTATTTTATTGCAAAGTACTTGTACTTCTTATCTTACGTAACAGTTTAGTAGTGCTAATCAAACTCTTGCCTACTTTCCTGAACCACAACCAGCCTGTCAGAATTACAAATTAAACATACCCTAATTAGACGGATATGATCATAGTTTATGTCCCGTGTAGAACACTGCTGGCCTGACCAGTTCAGCTCCGGCACCGGCCGCTGAAGCACCAACTGTAACTGCAGCTATGAAATGGCACCACCTAGCGTCACTGTCAGAGTTAAGCATATCTAACCACTTCTGTGAGAGCTTGAGACAGAGCAAAAAGTAATAAACGTTTTATCAATCGCTGCATGACTACTGCAAGTTGAACAAAACACACGTGGAAAAAGCTTGCACATTTGATAAAGACCTAAAGAAAACTGATTCTTTTCCCAAACCAAACGACCCCACACTCACATAAAGAGTTGAGACTCTCCCGTGAAGAAAACCACATCACTTATGTGTGCACAGGCCAGAAAGTCCTTAAGACATGTAACAGAGCTTCAAGTGATGATCACAGTTGGCTTATCCTGGGAGCTCTTCTGAGACAGACAGGACATTTTTGTCACTTATCTTTATGATTCTGTCTTGCATGGGAAGATTGATAACTTTTACTGACACTTTTTCCCATTCAGGTTACCTATGCATTCCTCTGGTTCCAAGGCTTTTCTCATTTTGCTAAGTACAAAAGCAAGCTTACATACCTCATTAAAATTGTAATATATTAAAAAAAATAATAACAGCTTTAACATAGGCTGACACAGTCAGTACATCCAGATAAAAGTAAACACAAACAATTCTTACTGAACTACGGCTAAAAATAACTATTCTTATAAATCAAAGCACTAGAATGTCATAAAATGCAAAGTTGCATTCTCTAAAATGGAAGTCCATTATAGATCCAGATAAATACTTCAAATGTAACCATTAAAGAAGGTTATGTTGGAGGAAAATTCGTATTCCTGCTCAAGACGCTCGATTAGAAAGCTTACACAAAAGTTATCTCAAAAACAGACAATGACATTTTATCCATTTTTTTCAGTACTGACACACAAGTAAAGAAGAAAGAATCATTACTACGAATCTAAATTTAGACTTTGACAAAGGAGGCTTTAGGTCCCTGATGTAGTGTAATGGTTTTCAGCCTGCTATGCATGGGTCCTGGGGGTTCAGACTCACAAAAGAAATATGTCTCAGTTCTTTTGGTTCCATTTCTCAGTACAGCAAAGCTACTAAAGCATTGAGCTGTCAAAAAGCACAATCTTCTTCCCTCTCCCTTACTGGGCTGGAACTAGCACTCCCAGCTAGCACAGTTCATCAATGCAACAAAGCTAACCTTCTCTTAGATAAATAAATGCATGCTTTTCTGCCACTTCAGCAAGCTAGACCAGCTCTGAAACAGGGTCAAAAAAGTGCCATTGCTGCTGTGGGGCAGGATGGTGGATGAATATGGCCAAGGAATGAATGTTCCTCCACTATCTGTAATTAGATTACTTGAGTACAAAGCTCTGGATTCACTCTCTTCCAAAAGTGCCTAACTGGTTTTAAATGTGACCTGCAAGAAACTAGGATACATCTTTCTCACATTGTTAAGATGTGCACTTTAAGGTAGTTAAAATAAATTTGAAATTCTGTCTAGGAGCTGCTTTATGAGAGAAAAAACAGTAAAGCTCTGACATGACAAGAATCTTAAGAACAAGCAGTTGAAACAGTGTCTTTTGTCAACCCTTTTCCAATTTCACTAACACTTTGAAAAGTATTATCTTAGTCTAAATACATGTAATTTCTGATAAAGCTTGTAAAAGAGCACCACCCTCCTCAAAATAAAAAAAGAAAAAAGTGGGGTTTTTTCCCCCCAAGATTTCAGTTTCTTTCTATAAGGAAACATAGCGAGGTCTTTCTGCAGTGAACATACAAACAAAACAAAAACACATATTCGCCATGCACCTAAGCAAAGCATTTACTGAAAGTGAAGGAAAAGTAACATTGGCCAAAATCTATGGAACGTAAAGCCAAACTATTTTGCAAGAGTTACATAAGACAGAAGCCCTTCAAATAAGCGGAAGACAGCAATGAGACCAAGCATCCAGGTAAGGATGTTAGGTTTCTGTGTGAAGGTCAGCTCGCATGTGTGACATGCCATTCCCTCTGACTCAATACCAGTTCTAATTAAGTCTCTAAAACACTTTAGCTGAAATTACAGTACCCAAAGAACATTATTTGTTTGAATCACAGTTACAATGAACCCATAGAACAGTAGAGTCTATTCTGACAGACCTTAATCTTTCCTTGCTTTAGTGCATTTCAGTTAGGCTCACAGAGTATATATTCGCTTTCTTACTCAGTGAGATCAAGATCTCACCACTTTGCATTCACGAGCTTTAGTTTCACATAAAAATTTCAAAGGTTACAAACCTATGAATTGAAGCTTCCATTAGCCATCAGACATTATCGCATACAGTAAATACAAACATGTTACCTAACACTATCACAGAATATTGTGAGACTCTAAACCACCAAATTCTGAATTTTCCACTGGGTTCTGTAATACTCTGCTGTGAGGGGTTGACCCTGACCAGCAGCCACGCAGTCACCCAGCCATCCATTCACTTCACCCTCCTGCGGGACGGCAAGAAAACAGAGAGAAGGGGAGACGACTCGTAGATTGAGACAGAGACAGTTTGACAGGTGAAGCAAAAGCTGTGGGCACTAGCAAAGCAAAAGAGGAATTCATTCACTGCTTCCCATTAGACAGGCAGGTGTTTAACCACTTCCCAGGAAGCAGGGCCCTAGCACGAGTAAGGGTTACTCAGGAAGACAAATGCCTCAACTGCAAATACCACCCCCTTTCTCCTCCTTTCCCGGAACTTTTACTGCTGAACATGATGTCAGATGGTATGGAGTAACCCCTGGGTCAGCTGTCTTGGCTGTTTCCCCTGACTATATCTGCTGGAGGGAGAAGGGAGTGCAGAGGGAGAAAAAAAGACAGCCTTACTACTGTGCAGGCACTGCTCAACAGTAGCTAAAACACTGGTGTGCTGCCAACACTGTATTAGTCATAAACCCAAAACACAGCAGCATATGGGCTACTACGGAAAAAATTAATTTTACTCCAGCCAGTAAACCTACTATAATAATTATTGATAAAAATAAAGTAGTATCAAGTTTGCAGAGCATCAACTGTTCTGCCTCCCATCCACTAGGAAAATAACCGTAAGGCTGCAGTAGTTCTGAAAAGAGTTTGAATTTGCCATCTTAATAGAGTGCTTTAAGTAAAAATCAACTGAAGTGCTATGGATATGGAACCTTTGGAGGGACAAACATGAAGAGCAGATAAATTAATTCTTCTGATAAGAATTACAGCAATTATCTTTTTGCTCATTTCAGGAATTCAACCAGTGACGCCTCTCTAGGAGGCTCTTAACAATGGGACTAGTCCAAACATGGGTGAGGTAGAATTGCACGGCCCCTCCCGCCCCCGGCCCCACCCCAGGAATTACTGCATACTATCAAGACAAACAAATGCCTATTCTAATCTCTCTTCTTGCAAACTTCACTGTTCATTCAGAATACACTCCTGAAGACTGGGATGAAGATCAGAAAGCGAGCAACTCCCCAAAACAACGCATACATCCTGGAAATTTTTTTTTTTATGCTAAAGGACAGGAACCTTCTCATAATTAAAACCGTTGCGGAAACAATTATGTGATCCAAACCCCTAATTTTCAATAATCAATCCTGAAATACAACACATGAAAAGCCAAACCTATTAGATCTAATGCCTGGGGTCGATCTAATGGTCTGTAAGTCTCCAGAATAAGAAAAGGGATCTTTTTATTACTGTAAAAATCAAGCATTGGCACTCTTGACATCTATATGCTTACTTCATAAAAATGCTTTTATTTCATAAAACTGCTTTTAGGGAAGAGTCCTAATTTGTAGAGTATAATTAGACTAGATATTGTAAGGAAACACACAATTTTATTTCTACAGTCATCCAACGTGCAAAGTAGATGTTCATGATTTTACAGACAGCACCTGGAATTACCGTTTCTCTAGAAGCCAGCCTGGAGCTATCCCCACATCAGCACTTGACGTGCCAGCACCTCCTGTCATACAGCAGCAGTGCTTCGCCCACATCTCCCTCCCTTCTACCCCTTCTACTGCTATTAGCCATTCACCTGTGCTGCCACAGAAAACATTGCCAGTACCAAGTAGCCCACAGAAAGAGCACCTCTATGGCTTTGGACAAGTCACCAGGAAAAGGACACTTCCTGTGTGCTCCCTCTCCAGCTTGGATCTGCTATGCACCTTCCAGTCTGAGGACAGCTGGGATGCAGCAATAGCATTACTCTCTCTAAAAACCTTATGCAAATTTAACATTCATAGATCTAAGGAACAGATTTTTCATTTTAAAGCAGGAACTGTGTTTATCCTTTTTGCTTCTTAACCTTACATCTCCCATTTTCCAAAAGCTGTTCTAAATAACCACACCTGTGCTCAGAGCTCCTGGCACAGCTACAATTAGTGGAAGTCAATTTAATCACTATTAGACTTCTAATACTTACATAATGTATGCTTTTTTAAAAAAACAGGTGAAACAGTCCTCTGATGCTTAAAGGTGCAACTTCATCATACTACTTTATACTGTCTTATCTTCAAATTAATTTCATAGTTTCACCTTATATACATAAGAAAGTTAAACTAATTGCTTATTCTAGGTTTATTACTTTAGAGGGATCTATTTCTAGAATTTGCTCGACATCACTATCTGAAATTATCAGGACAGCCCTTTCAAGAAGATCAACCTTGTACTTTATAAAAACCAAGAGCCATCCACTATTCCCCAGATGGAAAGCAAAAGTAAAGACGTTAACATCAATAAAAAAAAAAAACTAAAAACTCACTCACTGTCTTCTGTGGGAAGGACCTGCAGGGAATAAATCCATTCTATTATATCATCTTTGTTCACCACATCTAAGGAATCCAACATATCCAGACCAGAGAGTGCGAAAAATGCAATTGTCAACCTAAAAGAAAAAGATAAGACTTACACTTCCCACCATAAATATCATGGGGAAATTAACAAACGGTTACAGAAACAGAAACATCTATGAATTCCCAGCCTTTGACAGTGGTGCAACACATAGAGCCTAGCTCAGAAAGCATGAAATTTATCTACTGGACAAAATTATGTTCTTTGTACTGTAAACATTTCTCTCAACAAGGCTTTTCATATAAGCCACTCCTCCTTTTATATAGTAATAATATGCCATTTCAGACATTAACCTAAGGGCCTGCTTACCTGAAAAAAACACTACAAAGTAAACTAGGTTATTAACATATAGAGCACTAGTTCTCTTTGATGAATTCTTACAGAACAGTAAGAGCAAGGTAACCCTGAACTACAGTAAGCTGCCTCTCATTGTGTCCCAAATCCAGTTTCAAATGCTTAGAAGTTAGATGTCAAACAGCAAGGCTTCCTTTGTAACCAATCAACGCATAAATAGGATGAATTACCACCTAGAGGTTCTTATATCTTGTCCTTTGGTATAACGGAGCCTAGATGACTAACTTATTTAAACATCTGAAATTAAGCACGTCAAATCTAAGTATCCAATACAGGAGTGGAGTACCTAGCATGCTGAACATCCTTCTTGCCCACAGCTCGTTTCCTTCCATGAACACGTGCTACCATACCTGTTAATGAACACCTTCTTTGAGGGTTTTGTCTTTACCTCAAATCATTGCAGTCACCCAGCTTACAGCATGGCCCCTAAAACAGTTGTATTACTTGCCAGACAGATCACCAAAGCAAGAGCACTGAGTTAGGAACTTCAGATAGCTTGCTGTGAGAGAAAATGTTCATGTAATGGTACCTTGGAAGTTCTGACTCAGATTAAAATTAGATGGATGTATATTTTGCCACCCACACTTGCACCTGCCTATCCTTCTTCTAGAAATTTTTGCTCTCCTTTCACCAGATAAAATGATGAATTGTGAAACAGTTGCTACGCAGGCAGAAACTACAGTTCAGCATGCTAAGGAAAACCAAAAGTTAATACTAGCTTTCCTTAGGAGTCTAAGTTATAATTTGGAGTTACCTCACAAGTTGGTGAGCCACCTTGCCCATCAGAAGCAGGCACCTCTGAAGATAAGGAGACCAATGCGGACAGAAGCCTCTACAGCCACTTAATTTCTGCATGTGGTTCTGCATCAGAACCGCAAACAGTAAGACCAAGGAAAAAATGGTGGTGTGAGTCAACCCAAAACACACCTCCAAAAGAATTCTTCTAATTAAAACACAGCAGTCAAATGACAAGGCAGCAGACACTGATCTCAATACAATGGCACAAGCTCAAAGGGTGACATTCCTACCAATGGTCTAACCGGCTGCTATAGTCATCATGTGTCCATTCACAAGCAGAATTTAAGCCAACAATTTCTGCTTCAAAACTGTCATCATCCAGGATTACATGGCACAAGTGGTGGCCAGAACTCAGCTGAATAATGGTGGCTTGTTCAGCTGAGGTTACTTGATTTTAGGCTTTTACCTTTATGCTCAGTTTTTGCATTGCTTTTCATACCACTCTTACAAACACAAGGTTTTAATCCATAATCTGCTTTGATACTGAACACTAACACTCCCTCTTCAAAAAATTGCTCCATGCAACACTAAGGTCCTTGCAAAAACAAAAAAACAAATGAACAACAAAAAAAATCAAACATGGAATAGCATACAGCATCATTACTGCAAGTACTTATGGCAGAAAAAGTATAAACTTACTCTGCAATCACTGGATTCTAAAATATGTCTCTAATATTATTATTACAAATAAAGTTTTTGAGTATAGAAAGCCAAAAAAAGTACATTGTACACAAAGGTATTTCTACGTGGAACAAGAGTATCTTTTAAGCCATATGATGACTGAAAAATTGTCTGAATTAACAGTTCAAGGCTTACATCAACTTTTGTCATTGATCATATCTGTGTAACGCAAAATCTGACTCTGGATAATAACCCACTATTTCAAGCAAAACCACTACTTTTGTAAGAAAACAAGGAATTTACTGTTAGCTATGGTGAATTATTTAATTGAAACCTTGCATATATTTTCCAATTTTCAGAAACACTATGTTTGACAACCTTTTATTGAAACTACTTAAAGACGTTTTCATGCTACATTACCTAGATCAGCTACTTCCAATGAGGCACAAACAACATGCCAATTTCAGCACGAGAAACTGCAGCAAACTAGGTCCAAAATCACAAGGCTGTAAATATAAGACTGACAATAAACCTCATTTATACTTAAAAATACATTTATCAGATAAACAAATGTAAAAAGTGGTTTTACATATAGTTAGGTTTCAGTTTACTTATTCAGAGTTGATTCTCTGTGTTAATAATACCAGCATGACTAAGGAACAGCCCGTACCCCGGGTTGAAATTCACATATAATGGGCAAGAACATCTGGCACCACTGGACATAGACAGGTCCTGATAGAGCCACCTAGATATTGCATCCTTACTCCATACGCTATCCTGCCTCACAGAAAATTAAGAGAGACATGTTCCAAGACTAACAAGGACAACTCGTAGCAGTACCTTAGCTGACACATACCACGAAGCGTAAAAACTTTACATACAGCGACTTCCAGAGAGGGTAGCCCTTTGTAAGGCAACCCCCAAGTTTGGCATCACTTTCGCTGTATTATTTCTTCATGCCTTCTACCACTTTAGTTACTGCCTGTGTATCAATTCAGGAAGTCAAGCATCAAAACTTGTTATTTGTTAACTGACCAACTGAAAGCTTGCAAAACACGTATCATTCGTCTTAAGTTACCCTCCCAGACAAACAAGTAACAACATTTCTGATGACAGATTCAGGGCTCTTCATCTTCAGGCATGGACAAAGGCTACAGTTTCTCAGCAGAATACAGAAAGCATTTGAAGTGGCTGATTTGAGAAACTGAATAAGCGTGCTACAAAGAGCACCACAAAGTACCACAATCGGAAAGACTTCAGAGACTAGGAGAGTTGTGTTCTGCAAAACCTCACAGAACTGATGGTCAGTATGTATGAAACACTATCATTCAGATTACTTAACAACTACTGTTGCTGACACTGCATGCAATAACTACAGACAAAAATAATTACAAAGGCTTGAGCAGGAGGTTGGCAAGTTGAGTAAAGAACATGGAATCAAATTTATCATTGCACCTACCTCCTTATAGCTTGACAAACTGCAGCTTAAGTTTGAATGGACTAGTACCGTGTGGAAAATTTCATCCTCCACCACCCTGCCTGGTGTTAACAAATGCAGGTGTTTCTGCTGCAGTGCAGTGAACCAAAACCAACTCAATGACAAATTATTTCTTTCTTTTTTTTTAACACATCTCTCTCTAATTTAGTTGAGTTTCCCCACCTAATTCACCATGGAACTATAAAAATGCAGGAATAAGGGAAGTAAGAATAAAAGGGTAAGTGCATTTCTTTCTGCAGCAGTATCAGCTCAGGAGGCTTCCTGAACTCAGTGATCTTGAACTCATCAAAAAGCCAAACTAAGTACCCTCAAGGTTAAACAGGGGATGATGCATTCACAGCTCAATCCCCTGCTTAGATTTTGTTAAGATACGCATGCACATCTGCAGAACACTGATGTAAAAATCAGTACAAGAGAACTGAAAAAAACTCTGGCTGAGTAAAAACTTGGTAACTTCAAAAAATGCAGGAATTTAGATTACTGCAATTTTCATTCTAATTGAAGGTTTAGACTGTGCTTATTAGCCATAAATTACAGCATTCTGGAATAGTTTCAAGTTGACAGTTCCAATTTTCAGAAAAGAGTGTTTTTTCAGTGCTGCACAGCCACTACGTACAATACACTGGGCCCTGGATATTTAATGTATTGTGGCTACTATGACACACATCAAATTTAAGCTCAGACAGCTCAATAATTTCTCAAGAGTTCTCAAAACAATTAGCGTTATTATTAGCATTACTCAGTAAGGCTGCGGAAGACCCTAGGTAAAGCGAAGCCTCTTTCAGCTCAGCAGCAAACTGCACAGCTTGGTAACATACGTGACAGAACAGAAATATCTAGGTTGTCAATGGCCTCTGGAGATCACTGGTCCCACCCTCTGCAGAACCCAGGGCCCTAGATGAGATGACCTAGGACTCTGACAAGCCAAGTCTTCAAGGGAGACTCCACCACTTCATTGGGCAACCGATTCATCATTAACTGCTCTAAGGGTAAAGAACACTATTCCTACATCCAGAAAATTTTTGCTGAAGCAACTCATTGCCATAGCCTCCTGCCCCATTACCATGGTTCCTTGTGAAGAGTGCATGTCTATCTTTCTCTGCAACTAGTCTCTCTGTAATTGAAGACTATGATCAGATCCTTGTTCCTCCAGGCTGAGTAAATCCCATTTCTTTAGCCTTTCCATGTATGTCAGTGTGTCTAAGGTGTTATGATTCTAATACCTCTGCATGTTATTGTAACTTTAATGCTTAGAAAGAGTTAAGAGTAGAGCATGCATAGACTTCCTCTTGCTGTCATTTAAAATAACTGACAAAGTACACTGAAACATTGGCTAATTCTTAATGAATAAATGATTTACATCTCAAATCAAAATTTCTAGCTTTCCTTTTGAATATGAAGTTATGTGTTATTCCACACACAGCTTGGCACTATCTATACTAGTTCTTACACATTTTTGCCAAGGGCTTGTACTCACAACTGAAATAAAGCTTGATTTAGCAGGAAGACTTTATCAAAACCAGTAAGTATTTGTCATAGCATGACTTGCAGGAGATTACAAAGTGAAAAGCATCTGATGATTTTATTGGTTGAGGAAGATACCAAACCCTCTACAGGTCTCCAAGTTTTTAAATAAGTGCAGTTTGACAATCAAATTATTGATATTTCTGTGCCTCAAATGTAACTGACTACCTTACGTGAAAACTTTAAGAATCTGAAATAAATGCATTCTGAAGCCATTACAGGGACAAGTGTCCCCCTAATCCAAAGCAAGAAACATAGTTTACTAGCATTTTAACTCTTATACGAGCAAATGAAGATTTAAGTTATTTCTGTTACATGAACAAGAGTGTTCTGCATGCTGATTTCGAGCTACAAAAGGCTTAAGTAACTTTAAAATCGGCTTCCAGAGTGGATTAAAAGAGTGAAGCACACGGCTGAAAATAAATTAAAAGCATCAACAAGTCTTCCCTCGCGGATATCGGGGAGTTTAAGTGAGCACAGACAAAACCCTATATCAACTCCCATTTTTTGGTGGGCAGATTTAGATGGACCACGTTCCTTTCGGTCACCGCGGCGCCCGGTCGCTCAGGCGGCCGGCACGTTGCTGCACCCTGCCCACAGCCGCGGGAGGCCAGCCCGGGCGGGCAGCTCTCCAGGAAGGATTTCCCGTCAACGCGACCGCC